ACGTGAATTTATCATTTACTGGAGCAAATCGATTAAAAAACTCTTTTGCTAGCTTTTTATTTCAGTTTTTCCTTCTTATTATTTTCCCTCTTTTTTGTGATTTCAAAAGGGGGGTGATTGTATTGTTGTTATTATTGTATTGTTACATATGACTATCATCTAAGGGGGAGTATTTAGGAAAGAAACTTTTTGAAAATCATAAATAATAATATTTGCTATCATCAAAAAAGGAAAGATTATTGTAAAATTAATCCAAACACTATGATTTTGATAATAATAAATATTATTATATTTATTATTGCCTTATCCTATTTATGTGATATTTTATTTTGCTTTTGTGTGTACTAACATTTTTAGAAATCAATCCCCCATTCGTTTATAATTCTGATTAGCTCAAGACTGGGTAGACTAGCGTTATAGTCAATTTTCATTTTATTATATATTCTTTTCAGTCTTGAGTCTAACATGTAATTGGATGGATATCTTTATTGAGTAACCTTACACATATACAGTGGGAGAGAGAAAATTTTATTTGAGAGAGTTTTTTTAAGTACATCGTACTGTATAATTTTGGCTTCATATTATATGACCTTATTTCATACTATACAATTTTAATCTATAATGTATGACCTGTTGCACTCTATAAAAACCCTAGCCACCAAACGCTAAAAAAGATAATTATTCTATACTCATCATATAGTATGATTTGGTTTCATATTGTATGCTCTAATTAAAATCTTACTTAATTAATCCCCTAATATCAACCAAGCAAATCATTAATAATTATTGTGATCGATAGTACTATATGATATAGTTCATATTTTACAATTACCCGTACACAAAATTAGTCGTCCTAGAGATCGTACCAAATAAAATCCATGATTTTTTTACTAATCATAATATATGATGTCCACAGTCCTAAACGATCGACAGTGTCCACAGTCCTAAACGATCGACAGTGTACAAAGTTTGTCATACTAAGGATCGTCCCAAATGAATAAAAGGAATTTTTATAGATCATCACGATGTTTTGATCATACTGTACAAAATATTATTAAATTTGAACAATTCATCTGAGCGATCATGTTATACGAGTCTGAATTACATTGATCATATTATACGAATAGAAGATGGATCTCTTAAAAATTAGGGTTTTTTAAATCCCACTACTTAAGGTTTTGTAGTACTCCAATTAGAAAATCTTTGGTTGTTGAGACTTTAGGAGAGAGCTTTAAGGGATAAAAGAAGGGGAGCTTCGTGAGATAAGAGAGGGAGATTTTGTGAGGGAGAAACTGTGAGGAGATTCACAAGGTTACTCCAAGCAAGAATATTGCCTAATATCTATAAGCATTTGCATGGATTCTTTGTGGCTTCATATAAGTAATTCTTTAGCAAAGATAGTGGTTCTCACCTAGAGGGTGAAAATAGAGTTGTGGTTCTCTGACCATCACCAGGAGGGTGATAATAGAGTTATGGTTCTCTGACCATCACCAAAAGGGTAAAAATAAAGTTGTGGTTCTTTGACCATGATCATTTTTCAAAAGTTTTCTAAAACTCTATTTTTTAATCCTCCTCTAGTACCACTTTAAAGTTTATAAAGTTATTAGACCTTATAGAATTAGTCTCAAGACTAACCAAGAGGGGGTGAATTAGAAATTTAAAATTTTCTTTAAACATAAAGAAAAATCTTTTTTTAAGCTTTTTCAACATCTAAAAATAGCTAATTTTATCCCTTAATATGGAAGCAAATTAATTTTACAATAAAAGAAAATCAAAGATTTTTAACCATGTAGTTAACACAATCACAAATATGGAAAATAAAGTACAAAAAATAAAACCAAGAATAAACACACTAGAGATTTATAGTGGTTCGGTCAACCTGACCTACGTCCACTCCCCGGAACCTCCAGTTTCAAGTATTTTACTAAACCTTTAGTGACTCTCCTTTAGCCCCCACAGCTAGGCGAAGAAGTTCTTACAATTTTTTTTTCACCAACCTGGTGCAACAGAGGACCGTAATCCTTTTTCTCCCTCTAGGAGACAGTAGAAGATCGTAAATCCTTTCACATGCAAAGGTTGAATGGCTTTTACCTTCCCCAATACGGCAGAGTAGCTGAAACTTTTAATACCAAAAAGATCTTCTTCTTCCCAAAACTTCCCTCAAGATAAACCTTAAATAAGATGGTACTAAGATGCAAGCTAAAGCAATCGTGTGAAACCCTCTCTAAACTCCCTTGAAACCTACAAGGATCTTCTCCATCTCAAACTCCACCCTTTCCTCTCTCCCTTTCAAGGCTTTGTCTTCAAGTTTTTTTTTCAGAAGAACAAAGACTCAATGCATATCAAAGAAACTTATAATGTCTTTGGAGAAAGATTAAATAGAGGGCTTCAAAAACTATAAAAAATTAATTCGGTTATCAAATATCGTCTAGTACTATCTTGTGCGATTAGTACAAAACAACCCTTTTTAAAATTACAAACTGTATTGTTATGTATAATCAGTTCAAGAGTTTGTACTGATTATCCAGGACGATTCTGTGATCATCCAGGATAATTAATTGACAAATTTATGGTTTTCATCTTATATGATTGGCAGTCATCCATGCATTCTCTTGGTTGTTACGAATTGTGCTTGACGATTAAGTTGAACAAATTCACCATAATTAGTTTCCTAATCACAAGATTAATTTATCCATTATTGTCATATATCCTCCAATATGATTTATATCATCCAAAAAGATTAGAACATTTTGAATCTTGAAATTTTCTTAAATTATGATTGGCGACTATTTATCATGATCATCATTAACCATCTTAGATTAAATATATATCATACATATGATTAGTTAGATGAGCTGGTCATACAATATGATATAAATCGTACAGTATGATTAGTTCAAAATTTAAACTTTTAATTTTGACTCAATCTCACTCCCCCTGAGTGAGTGTGTGCATAATCATTAAGCTAGCATTCACTCTTATAGGACTTGACTCAATAAATCAAAAATACATCAATAAATATTTCAAAAATCTTTACAACATGACCTATTCTACCCAATCTTGAGCCTTGAATATTCATTAGATGGTGTATGGTGTTCCAGAAATGTTAGTACACATAAAAATAAATATACATTACAAATACAAATAGACATAATGATATGAGCCATAATAATTGTTATCATCAAAAATATAAACTCATGAACTCGAGTTACAATAAGGGGTGCCAAGCAAGGAGGAAGAAGGGACCCAAGAAAGGAGGGAAAGAAGATAGGAAAGGAAGAGAAATTAGAGATTTCTCTCTTGCCACCAAATTCCTCTTCAATCATCTCCTGGCCACCGATCATCATCGGACTTCTACCCATCGTCGAACTTCTAACCGTCGCCATACTTCCACCAAATTTCTACCTGACGTCGTACATCCGCCAATCATTGGATTTTTACTCGACATTGGACTTCTGTCTGTCGCCAGACTTTTGCTGTACGTCATCAAAATTTCATTAGACTTTTACCCGACGCCAAACTTTTGTTCGTCATTGGCTTTATACCCGACATCGAACTCTCACTTGTAATCGGACTTCTGCCCGATGACGGACTTCCACCCATCATCAAACTTTCGTCAGACTTCTACCTGACACAAGACTTTCGTCCATCATCGGACTTCTTCCTATTGTTAGATTTTCTTCAAACTTCTACCAGACATCTGACTTTCATATATCATTGAATTTCTACCTGACGTTGGACTTTCACCCATCACTGGACTTCCATCCTCCGTTGTTAGCCGCCTATAATCCTTCTGACCTCCATAAATAGATTGTGGTCCGTTTGACCTCCTTCGTCAAACAATAGTCTTTTCTGACCACCTTCGCCTGCCAACTCTTATCCCTCCGACCACCGTCACCAGACTATGATCTTTCCGACCTCTGTCGCCCTCCAACTATGGTTCTACCTACCAAACAAACATATCAATAGTGATTCTTTGAATTCCCATCATGTAATACACTTTATATGATGTATATTCATTACATCAAGCTAAGGCCTTCCCTAGGGAAGGGACTCATTTTGTAATCAATTGCAAATAATAGTGGATTCATTCAAACTGGGCCAGACTGTGGTTTTTTCCCTTTTAAGGATTTTTCATGTAAAAATCTTGGTGTCTTTTATGAATATTACACCCTCTCTTTCATTTGTTTGTGTGTTGGATCTTCGTACAATGCTAAGATGTTAAACTTTTTACTTCTCTGAGGCCGCAAATATTTGAGAACCCAACAACTTTCACATCCACTAAAATTATATATTATGTAATTAAACGTTCTTCTACTAGTTCTTTAGGGTTTCACAATCTTCACGATCCTCATAAACCATGTAGTTAACTCAAACACAAATATGGAAAATAAAGTACAAAAAAAATAAAATCAAGAACAAACACACTAGAGATTTATAATGGTTCGATCAATCTGACCTACGTTCACTCCCCAGAACCTCCAGTTTCAAGTATTTTACTAAACCTTTAGTGACTCTCATTTATACTTCTCTACGGCCGCAAATATTCAGGATCCAACAACTTTCACATCCACTAAAATTATATATTATGTAATTAAATTTTCTTCTACTAATTCAAAGTCATTTTTCTTCAAGATATTTTACTTCAAAGTCTACAAATTATATGAAAAGATATTTTACCATTACAATTATTTTATCTAGAAATAGCAAACAATAAAATACATAATTTTTAATATCTTATGCATGTATCCATATTTCCTTCGAAGTCAGCTCACTTTGATTTATCTAAAAAGATTAATTCCTTAAAACCACAATCAATATAATCTCAATAATAGTGGTTCTCATCATTCACTGATGCTTTCATCTAAAACTATTATATAATAACATTAACTTTTAGTAGAAATAACTTAAATGAAGTATCTATATCATTTTTGTGTTTCCTTAGGCTCTTCAGTATTATTCCACATCTCTTCTCTTATATAATAACACGTCTAAGTTTTTAATTGGCTCAATCAATCTTCTGAAGTCAAAGCGGGTAGAAAGAAATTATTGCGTAAATATGAGTAGACATTTTTAATTGACAGTCCGGATTGGCGAAATCGGCACAGCAAGTTTCCCTACCGCCGCCGGAGTGGACTAAGGAAAAAGGGCGCCATGGAAACGGCGAACATGGTCATCTCTCTCGTGATTCCGAAGCTATGCTCTCTTCTCTCCGACATCTCCCGAGCTGATTCCGACGTTAACTGGCTACGGGATGAGCTCCGCAGCATGCGCTCCTTCCTCGAGCAGGCAGACGACTCCGCCGAACATGGCGGAGACAAGGCAAATTTCCTCACCTGGATCGATCAGATACGCGAAGCTGTCTACGACTCCGAAGACATAATCGAATCATTCGACTTTTGGCGCCGTGTCAACTCATTTTCCTCCTTCCCCTGTATCCTCAACTCCCGCTATAATCTCACTTACCGCATTCAAGATCTCAGATCCAGAGTCGCAGACATCTCCCGCCGACGCCAGGAATACATATCTCCTGGATCTGTCAGTCATTCGAACGATAGCAGGTCAAAGGACGCCTGGCTTCAAGGCCTTCTGGCTTCCTCCCCTTTCACGAATCAAGACGGAGGGGAGGTTGTGGGACTCCGAGAAGACCTAGAGCAGCTGCTCGGTTGGGTGCTAGCCGGACCACCGGAGCTCACCGTTGTATCCGTGGTGGGAATGGGAGGCCTCGGAAAGACGACGCTCGTGAAAAGAGTCTTCAACCACGGGGAAGTACGCCGTCTCTTCGACCGATCAGCCTGGATCTATGTATCGCAGACGGCCAAGCTCCGGGATATCTTCTCCGACATGGCGAAGAGGCTCATGGAAGTCCCTACCTCCGAGATTGACGCCCTCGACGTAGTCGAGCTGCAGGAAGAGCTTCTTAAAATCCTCGAGCGCCGGCGATTCCTCCTTGTGCTCGACGATGTCTGGAGAAGCACGCTGTGGGATGCAGTTAAGCTCGTTCTGCCGTCCAACAACCACGGAAGCCGTGTCATAATCACCACCCGAAAAGAGGAGTTAGTGTCCTCCATCACTGGCGCGGCGAGCCAAGTCCACCGCCTCCAGCCGCTTTCACCGGAGGAGTCGTGGACGCTCTTTCGCAAGAAGGCGTTTCCTTCCTCGTCGGTGGGACCCCCCGACGAGCTGGAGGAGTTGGCGCATGGAATAGTGCGAAAGTGCGGTGGCTTACCCCTCGCCGTCGTCACCATCGGTGGTATGATGTCAAGGAAGGGAGGGAATGCTGGAGAGTGGCGGCGCGTGCTCGAAAATATCCGCAAGTACCTAATTAGGGATGACAGCGACGATAGGGTGCGGCGGGTGCTGATGCTGAGCTACACGGATTTGCCTTACCCTATAAAGTGTTGCTTCCTCTACTTCTCTCTTTTCCCCGGCGAATCCATAATTTCGCGGAAACGACTTGTGCGGCTGTGGCTGTCGGAAGGGTTCGTCGATGAGGAGGACGATGCCGAGAAGTATCTTATGGAATTGATTAGCAGGAGCATGGTTCAGGTTTCAATGGTGGGGGTTGGTGGGCGGGTGAAAGCCTGCCAAGTCCACGATCTTCTGCACCACTTTGCCATCACCATTGCCGGCAAGCAGAACTTTTCTGCTTTCTACGAACAGGGGAGAGGAATGGTCAGTACTAATCAAAATAAGATGCGCCGTGTTTCATTCCACAACCATCAGCCTTGTGCAACCTTGAAGTTTAACAAAAGTAAGAAAACACTGCGCTCCATTTTTCTCTTTGGAATCTCGGAGCGATTTAGCTTTGCGAATCGAATCGGAAGCTTCCGATTGCTCCGAGTGATCGATCTCGAAGAAGCTGCAATAACAAAGCTTTCGATTGAAATCGGTAACTTGAAGCATCTTAGATATCTGGGGCTGAAAGGAACGAAAATCTCGAATCTACCGAAATCGATGAAGAACCTCCGCAATTTGCAGACGCTGGATGTGAGAAGGACGCAGCTGAGGAAGCTGCAATTCGACGTGAAGAACTTGACGAACTTGAAACATCTTGAGATGAGGCAGGCGGCGCAGAGCATTAAATTGAAATCCGGCATCCAGAACCTTACAATGCTTCAGGTAGCGACCGGCCTGCTAGCGGACAGAGCCACGGCTCATCGAATTGGGGGATTACAACAATTGCGAAAACTCGGCTTGGAGAAGCTAAATTCCAAAGACGCTAACCTCCTCTGCTGCTCCATCAACAATATGAGCAGCCTGGCATCGCTCTCGATCTCAACGCAGAGCGAATCGGACAAGCTGGAGCTTGGAAATCTAAAGCCATCACCATGTCTTCAGAAGCTGCATCTGGTGGGGAATCTGACGAGATTGCCGGAGTGGTTGGAGCAGCTGCAGAGCCTCACGAAGCTAAGGCTGGGTCTGAGCCGGCTTCGGGAAGACCCGATGCCGGTACTGGGGAAGCTCCGGGGCCTAGTTTTTCTTCAGCTGTATGATTACGCTTATGAAGGGAAGGCAATGAGAAACTGCAGGAGTGGGTTCGAGAGGTTGAAGATACTGCTGGTGACGGGTTTAGAAGGATTGGAAGAGTGGGAGGTGGAGGAGGGCTCAATGCCGTTCATACAGGAGCTGTGGATTGTTTCGTGTACAGGGCTGAAGGCTATTCCTTCTGGTTTCCAGTTTCTTATTACTTTGCAGAAGCTCAGGCTGGTGAGCATGCCGGAGAGCTTTCTTTCGAGGGTCAGCACGACGGGATCCGGTGGTGAAGATCTCAGCTACGTCCGCCACATCGCTTCCATTCTAAGCCAATGATAATTATTAGGGAATTACGTACATAACATTTTAAGCTATTTTTGTATTTTTTTTTACATAACATTTTGAGCTTATTCATAAAATTAGCATTTATTTATTTCAAAATTATCAAATCTATATATTTATCCGTATTATAGGCAGGGGCGGAACCAGCCTTTCATCTTAGGGGGGGGCAAAATTTTCTTAGTATAATAGACTAATATAAAAAAAAGATGACATAATTCAAAGTGAAATATTGTATTTCTATTATTATAGGAAAATTAAAAATCATTACAATTTTATCAATCTATTTTGCATTTTTTGATAATATTGGATAACATCTTCATTGGGAATCAAATCAAATACATCTTTTTCAATGTAAGGCACAAGACAATCGTTGATCCAATCATCACCTATACTACTATGCAATCGATGTTTGATAATTTTCATGGCTGAAAATGCTCTCTCCACCGTAGCAGTAGCAACTGGTAAGGTTAATGATAAAGTAATAAGTTTGTAAACCAAATGATACACATCATTCTTCTTGAACTTAACAATCTGCTTTGCAAGATTAGCAATACTTCTTAGAGAGGAGAACTCTTCACTAGTCCGCATATCGATAATGTACGTTGCTAATTGATTTTTAAGAGCAATAACCTCAATTGTAGAAAAATCACTTGGATATAACTCTGCTAGACATATCAATTTCCTCTCATCATAAGTACGAAAAGAATCACTTGAGTTTAAGCATGACATACACAGAAGTAACTCAGCACTTGATTCAGAAAAGCGATTATTTAGCTCTTGAAGTTGCATGTCAACTACTGTATAAAATAAATCAACACGATAATGATGTAAATTTGTTTTATCTTCACCTCCTCTTACTGATCGACGACGAGTTTTATATGTTTCATTCATGTTTGGAACAACAACTTCAAAAACACCACAAAAACGTGACACTTCATCTAGTAAACCATTCCATCCATTCTCCCTTAGAAGTTGCAGTCGTTGTTTGGAAATTTGAACCAATTTCATAGCATTTTCAATGTCTTGATCTTTTCTTTGCAATGATTGTGATAACTCATTCGTAATGCCCAATATATCAATCATTAAATGCATTGTAAAGATAAAATCAAAAGACTCCATTATATCAATACTTCTACTGTTGAGCTCTCGGAGGTGGTGGAATATTTATTATCTATTATATTGTCTTTGATGACTACTTCAAATTTATTTCTTAGGAGGCACAATGTCCTTTAAAAATTTATATACAATATGTATGTATATAATGTTTTCAAATTATTTAGTTATTGTGTGCTTATTATTATTAATATAATTTTGTCATTGTAGTACGGTTGATAATTCCAAAGTCAACATAATCACTGGAGAAGAATGGTCAAGAAAATGTTCCAATGGTTGTGCTAGAGAAAAAGCACTACGTACTCCCTTTGAGGTAATTATATCACAGAATTACTAAGTTTTGTGTCTTATATATTCAAAATGTATATATTATTAATGCAATACAACATATTATAATATTATTATATATATTGAGGGTTAATTAGGCTATAATTTCTTATTACTCTTCTAGAGGATCACAATTTCAATTTTGAGCAGTTCAATTAAAATAGCAGGTCATGTTGAACAGTTCAATTGAAATATTTGCTTTCTAAAGTAATACTTGCATTTGTGAAAAATTCATTACATGGACATATAACAATCATATATGAAAAAGTTTTCTTTAATATTTTGGATATTAATTTAGCATTTTCATAATGTAATCGTTGTTAATTATTAAAATCTTAAAAGCAGCCAAATTTTTGTGTTGTTTAACTGAAATATAAATATAGCTATAATATTTTCGGCTAAAAATAACAAAACCCATATGTTAAGAATGCGTTATGCAACTAATTAAATAACTCATTGAGATTTTGACAAATAATTATATACATATTTAAGACACAATAAGAGATACATTCCTTTAAAATTTCATAAAACTAAGAAATTTCAATTGAATTTTATTAAAATGTTTTAAATTTACTTATTTTAATGAGAGGAAATTGTATTTTTTATTCAAAAACTATAAATTAATTATATCAATATATATAATGCATTAAGCTGTTTTTTAATATTTGAAGTCTTGATAATAAAAAAAAAAACAAATTAAACATATCTAATTTCTTCACTTAGAATATGTTCTCGGAGAAATACGTAGAATGTAATCATATTTTACTGTAGAAATATTTCAATTATCCAAATAGATATAATATTATAAGGCGAATCAATTTGATAACGTGATAATTGTATATATTATTAGTAGTTTAATACAATATAATATGAGACAATAATAATATATAGAACTTTAGTTAGGCTATAAAATCGTTGCTTAATAAATTGAGAACACCAGAAATTAATAATAAAAAAAGTGATTTATATATATTGCGTAAGTTTTGCGTCTAAACATGTTGAAACTAAATGCATTAAGATTAGCAATATTTGACAAATTTAAGTTTCTTTTCACAATAGTTTTTCAATGTTAATGATAATTTGATCATAGTTTATTTTTTTTATTTAGTTATAATATTTTTGATTGATTTTATTGTGCGCTTATCATTGATGTTGTATCTATCATTTTAGCACGGTTGATCAATACAAAGGAAAATATTTCCGCTTGGAAGAGAATAGTGCAAAAAATGTTCACAAAAGGAAACATGATTCTCGTCTCAGGTAATTTTTTTTTGGGCAACATTTACATAGTTTCATCTCTGATTCAAAATAATAATTGGCTATTATTATTTTTAATATTATATTATATTATTATATTAT